ACACACACACCACTAATTCAACTGAGTGGGTTACTAAAAAGAGTTGCCATGAAACTGAGAGGAAGGTGTGTGTGTGTGTGTGTGTTGTATGTGTGTTTGTGTGTGATGGGGAGAGGAGGAATATGGGAATAGTTGAAGGTGGGAAGTTGGGGGTGATCCAAATACACTGTATGCATGTGTAGTGGGTAGCCATTCCAGCTTTGATCTGGAAGTTCAAACCACCATTGAGGCTTTAGTAACTGTCAGGCCTACAAGGCGCGGCCAAGAGAAGGCCCTGAAGACCTGAGATCTGGATTCGCTGGCTCTCTTGGTTCCTGGACCCTGGACACTGGAGGCAGACCAAGCAGAATTCTCCAGAGAACACTGCCGGACTGCACCATGCCTTTCCTAGACCCTGCAACCTACCTATCCCTTCATTTGTAAGTTACGCCACTAAATAAACCTCCCTTTTAACTATGTGGAGTGGCCTTAATAATTTCACCAATATGCATGTATGACATTTTTTAAAGAATAAACAATAAATATTATAAAACCGGAAACAGACCCACAAGCAAGGACGAATAATGTCAAATGCGAAAGATCAGGAAAATTCCACATAGGCAAAGAGTTTGACACTAATACAGGAAAAACTGGTTCTTAAGAACAAGGATCTGGGGCTGGAGAGATGGCTTAGCACTTGAGACAAACCTAGGTTCAGTACCCATATCAGTAGTGTCCTGTGACTCTAGCTTCAGAGGGATCTGATGCCTCCCACTTCTGTGGGTATTCAAATGCACATGCCACCACACAGACACATGGGCAAAATAAACACACAGAATTAAAGACTAAGAAATTACTTAAGAATCTCTGCTCCTGATCCTTTGATCCTACAACAAATGAGAGGAGGTGGAAGTGATTTCTTTTTATAAATTATTGTTTTCCACCTGAGACATAAGGACCTGATCCATCGGACCTCATGAAATCCTTGAGACATAAGAACGATGGTCGAAGTCTTTACACACAGAGGCATGGGGGTACATGGGACAAAAAGGCAAACTTCCAGATCTCAACAAGCTCAGAAAGCAATGCTTATTTACATGTGCTAAGGAGTCATCAACATTTCCTCACAACTGTGTGTGTACTATTTGTATGTGCTGTTTGGTTTAAAACAAGAGGTTCAATAACTAATAGTTGTCTCATTTCCTGGGGAACTGAAAATTTCTCTCTAAGTACAACTTGACATTTAAGAGAATGAATTAATTCAAAAAGTACAATACAAGCTGTCCTCCTGTATAAGGCAATGATGCATTTGTTACATAAACCACTACCAACAAGACACCTGAAAGGCTCACCAAAACACAATTATCAAGCCAGGAGTGGATTCTACCTCATCACTCCAACTCACAGGCATCATCAGTCTATCTCAATGACTGCTTTGAGAAAGTCATATAAGTAAGTTACACAAGACACCTCTATAGCAGCTTTCCCTTCATACTGGGATAGAGGACAGGAAAAGAAGTTACCCTGCAAAGGGCTAACAGGAGAGGGTGGGCCTCCAAGTATGCTTGCCCTGGATGCTTTCAGTGCTGCTGAGCAACCTATAAAATGATAACAGACTTAAAACCTTCTTGGAATGCTTCTAGAAAATATCCACCTAGGCCTCCAGGGAGAGTCACAACAAAACCACCTATACTTTCTGCCTGGCTACTGGCCAATCAGAATTTTATTTTTCAACCAATCAGAGCAACACATATTCTGTTGTGTGGAAGGTGTGCTCCCTCAAACTTTGCTATCATATCAGCACATTACTAATGTGGAATAGAAAAGCAGTTTGGTAAAAGAAGACAGTTATTGTAGGAGTCTTTGACTCCTTCTCCCTAGTTGGCAACCTTTCCATAACAGAGAGAAAACTAGTTAGTGACAGTTATAAACCAGAGAGCACCATACTTTCTCTTATAAATGTAGATACTTATCCACTCAATAACACAGGCAGATGAGTTGAGGCTGTACAAGGAAGTCAGCTGAGTTTGTCCTTTAATCCTTCTCAAGAATCTATATTAAGGAAGATGCCATTTGCCACTACACTTTGAGCATATAAGACAAACTCAGCATGGTTGCTTAGACACTTGTTTCTGAGATACAGTCTCTCACTGGCCTGGAACTCACTCACCACTTAGGAGTATGGTGATATATTGTATACCCTAATAAAATTTGCCTGAAGAGCCAGCCACTAGATTAAACACAGAAGCCAGACAGTTGTGGCACACACCTTTAATCCTAGCACTCAATCTCTGTGATTTCAAAGCCACCCTGGGCTATATGAGATTAACTCAGTCTAGAAGAGAAACCGAGCCAGTCAGTGGTGGCACACATCTTTAATCCCAGTATTTAGGAAGCAGACATGCCGTTAATCCAAGCACTAGAAAGGAAGTGATGGCTGGGCAGAGAAAGGTATATAAGGCAAGAGGAGATAGGAACTGAAGCTTTTCAGGCTGAGGAGTCCTAGAGGTAAGATGTGGCAGTGACTTGCTCCTTTGTCTCTCTGATCTTTCAACATTTACCCCAATATCTGGTTCCGAGTTTTTATCAATAAGACCATTTAAGAATTCGTGCAACACAGGACAGATTGTTGGGTAAGACAGGCCCAGGGATCCCTCCTGTCTTTACCTCCCCAGCACTGGGTTACAAGCAAGTACTACCATGCTCAGCTTTTATTATAATTATTAATGTGAATTGCCACATCTTTTATTTTTATTTTTGAAAATGTCATACATGTGTACTATGTGATATCGTTCTATATGCTGTGAATATGTGTTGCTCTGATTGGTTGAAAAATAAAATTCTGATTGGCCAGTAGCCAGGCAGAAAGTATAGGTGGGATAAGCAGACAAGGACAATTCTGGGAAGAGGAGGGCTGAGTCAGGAGTCGACAGCCAGACACAGAGGAAGCAAGATTGACAAGGCAGAACTGAGAAAAGGTACCAAGCCACGTAGTTAAACATAAATAAGAATTATGGGTTAATTTAAGTGTAAGAGCTAGTCAAGTAATAAGCCTGAGCTAATTGCCAAGCAGTTATAATTATTATAAGCCTCTATGTGTTTACTTGGGGGATGTGCATGGGAGAGAGTAGTCCCAACCGCCAGCTGGCCAGGACACAGGAAAACTACACATGCATACAAATATGATCTTATCTATCTCTCATTTCCCCTCAAGCCCTCCATTCTGACTACCAACTTCAAGTTTTTGGTTTTATGTTAACTCACTAAGTACAGTTAGTGCCACCCATAGATCCATGTATACAGACAGTGGCAAGGTGGCATCAACTGGAGCATGTGAAATCTATCAGAATTTAAAAGAAAAAAAACAATACAAACCAAGAACTTGCTACATGGCCCTGGCTAGCCTGGAACTTGTTATGAAGACTAGGATAGCCTTAAACTCAGAGATCCCTCTGCCTCCCAAGTACTAGGATTAAAAGCTTGTGCCACCCTGTCCGGCATATCAAAATATTTTTTGTAATTAAGTGATTGAATATACTGGATTTGGTGCTAAAATATGACAATGCTAGATCTTAGGGACAAGAATTTACCATATATCTATTCTTACATATTTGAAATATTTTATTAAAAATAAAATTCAGTAATGGTCAGAGGTTAAGAGCATTTGTTGCTCTTATAGAGGAACTAGGTTTGGTTCCCAGCATCCACACAGCAATTCAACACCGTCCCTACCGCTAGTTCAGAGAATCTGTTGCCTTTTTTTGGACTCCATGGTCACTAGGCACTTAACACAGTGCACATGCATTCAAGCAGGCAAAACACTCATATGCATAAAATAAAAGTAAATCTAAAATAACAACCCCTCAAAACTCCACAAGTTTGAAAAGAAAAGGAAAAAAAAATATTTAAGAACAGAATGCTTCTCTGGGTAGCAATACAAAATTTTAAAAAACTATTCAAGGTGCTATTAAAATCCAACCTCTGAAGACATTACTGTTTTGTTAAATGGACTGAGAGCAAGTTCAAGAAGCCACAGACACCACCTCCTCACCCCTGGGCCCCAACAGTACCAGCTCTTTCCAGACCTGTAATGACTCTTTTTGGGATCTCATCATAGTTAAGTCAGGCATTCTACCTTGGGTACATGCATCTAGACAGGCCACAATTTAACTGCAGGATGTCATGGGAAAGTATGAAATTGGAGATCTAAATTACTTTCTAAGAAGAGTGACAGAGTTACCAGTGATCAGATCTAGGACAGTTTTTTTTTTTTTTTTAAATTCCCACAGACTAGTTTATTCATCTACAAAGTGGAACCACAAATGAATATATACATATGGTTATTAAATGCCAACTTACATGAAAAAGCTTTTTAACACTAAAATAATACTCATCATAGTTTGACAATGTTCTGCTTGTGGTGATATACATAGAATTTACCATTAGTGTGACATTTAGTATATTCACAATGTTATGTATGGAAACAACAACACTACTTGGTAGTTGTAGTGTAGATGGTACATGCACATTGTGGTGTATGGTATATGCACATATGTATGTAGGTACAAATCCCTGTGCAAGTATAAGGAGACTCTCCACCTTATTTTTAAAAGATTTTTTTATGTGTATCGGTATTTTGCCTTTGTACCACATGCATGCAGTGCTCACAGAGGCAACAAGAGGGCATGAGATCCCCTGGAACAGAACTGGTTGTGAACTGCCATGTGGGTGCTGGGAATTGAACCCCAGTAATCTTAGTGAGTGCTCTTTGATCACTAAGCCATCTCTTCAGCCCCTCCACCTGATTAAGACAGGATATCTCTAACTAAACCTGAAGCTCCCAGCTAAGCTGGCTGACCAGTGGGCTCCTGGGATCAGCATGTATCTGTCCCAAACACTGGGGTTACAGACATGCACGGCTATGCCCAGCTTTATGTGGGTGCTGGAGACATAAACTCAGGTCAGATCTTCTTACCCATTGAGCTATTTCCCCCAGCCCTATTTGACAGTTTCAGTGTTACTGTTCACATCCTCGAATATCTTGACATATTCTTTACTTACCCTCTTTTGTTCATAAGCCCCCAACTCTGTTTAGAAGACCTCTTTAAAGATCTAATTTTAATCTTATTTCCTTTAAAAAGGGAATATTAAGGATGTTAAGAATAACTACTGTATTAATGAGAACAGTTACCTTTCTTCTAACACAACTGGATCCTTACATAATTTGCCCACCAACCTAAAAGTGTGTAAAGGAATAAAACTAGGGTTTATCCACCTCTGTAGCTCTATAACCTAATTACAGGAGAGAAGAATAGCATGATTTTTAACTGTCTTTCTCTGTTCTCCTTCCTGATTCTATACTTATTTAGAACTAGAAAAACTATTTTGCAGTTTATTTGAAAAACATATCCTGATGATATTTTTCAATAAGAAAGTAGTGAAACATGTCAGGCCACAGGGTATAAGCTAGAAGTATACACCTACATAGCTTTTTCACCTGTAACTCTCAGATATTAACAGAAGCTAAATCCTTATAAACCAGAGTTTCAAAAGCCTTTATCTTCAGACTTATGAAGCTACTACACAGGACTAATTCCTTGGCTGTATTTGCTCTCTTTTGGTTGTTCACATTTCCATAATGTCTGTTAAAGGAAGCTACAAGCTACTAGAACTCTCCAGAGCAGAGGATATAGCTAACTGGCTAACAAAAATACCAAGACAGTCCCTCTCAATAAGTTTAACAACTCAAAACAACACATGAGTGTGTAAGATAGTATATGGTGGGCTTTCAATTACAACTGGTTCTAAAGGAACTTACTCACATGAGACCTCAGAAAGCCAGTATATAAAACTCTAGGTTGTATATAGCTTGTTTCTACATCCAGATAAAGTAATTCCTACACTTCCCACATCCTGACCACCACATAGTAAACGCTTAACTGTAAAGGCAAGAACTGCATCTGCACAACTGCTATTACTATAAATACACTGTGGTTGAAACATAGTGGGTTTTCAGAAAATTTCCATAGGTAAAATAACAATAGGACACAAACTGAAACATCTTTGGGAGGTTATCAAGTTAATGGTAAATGAAAGCACTTGTCTCCTTTCAGGGCAGAAGGTAGGTTTTTAACTTGTTAAATCAAGTCTACAAAGCACACTGCAACTCAGCCAAAAGAGAGGTAGAGATTATCAGGCCCACCAAGAGGTGTAGCATATAGTTATTATGCTTACCTTGATTCGTGAACTGGGATTCAGCATGATGTATTTAATAGAACCTTGGATGTTCTCTGTCCAGGAGACCAGCCAAGTAACCTTGTTATCATGTCGGACTTCTTTCCATTTATGTCCTGGAGGAGGAGAAGGAACCTTGGCATCTCTGTGAAAATAACCATGTAGATGGGAAGTGAAATTAAAAATGACAAACCATGTTGCTTTTCATAACCAGAAGTGAAACTATCTCCTAAGTATGTATTTCTAATCTCCCTTTCCCCAATTCTGAACAAAAACTTAGAGACTTACCCATAGAAGTAAATATTAAGCTGTCTTTACAGATATACTCTTAACACTATGAATAGTCCCAACCACCAGCCTTGAGGAAAGAAGCTTGCACCTCACTTCTGCCCCCAAAGGTGAACTTTTGTGCTCACTTGCTGCAATTGATAATGATGTCCTCAGGCATGATTCTTCTCTTCAGCATGCCCATCTTGGGGTGGTTACCTCGGCCACGGAAAAGCCCTGGAGGCTCTATCTTGAAGTTGGCAATCCTCTCTCTATGATTATCCATAACACAAAAGCCATATTCTTTCAATAATTTTTCATTTTCTTCTTTGATTTTCTGAAATAGAGCAAGGAAGTACTCAAAATGGATTCAAACTCCTGTCTGCTAGTACTTTTTTTTTTTTTTTTAATCTCTTGCAGGAGAAAGGTCAAGGTTAAATCCAAAATTCACTCAGAAATGAACTCAAATAAAGGAAAATGTCTACTGGATCTTAAACTTACACATAATAAATCGCCAAAAGCAAAGGGAAGGACTTGGACTTGCCTCTATTGGATGTGCTTCCCCATGGAAGGCCTTGCCTTCTTGTGTGTGTGTGTCGGGGGGAGTGGATTGGGAGTGGGAGGCTGGGAGGATGGGAGGATGGAAGAGGGGGATCTTTGATTGGTGTGTAAAATGAATGAAAAATTTTTCTTAATAAAAATAAATAAATAAATAAATAAATAAATAAATAAATAAATAAATCACCAAAAGATCTGGTGAGAATAACTGACCTTATATCTAACAGATGCTCACTATTGTCTTTTGTAGTAGTGCTGAACGAAAACCAATGTATACTAGGTAAGCACTCTACCACTGAGCTACAGCTTCAATCCTTGATCTTTTATTGTAAAGGGTATAGATTTATGAATGTCATTTACTTTTAGTTTAACTTAGTTTAATTTAAAGGATATGGTCTCATATATCCCAAGATGTCTTCAAACTCTCAATGTAACTGAAAATGACCATACATTTCTGATCTTCTTGTGCCCACTTCCCAAGGGTTGATATTACAGGCAGGTACCACCACCATGCATGGTTTTATGCAGTTCTGGAAGCAGAGTCAGGGCTTCACACAAGCCTTCAGGCAAGCCCTGTACCAAATGAGTTACTGCAGCCCAAGTTCTACCGAGATATTTTTAAATGTTAACCTTAAAAATTAATACTATGAAGAAGGAGAAGTAAATGTCAGCTAATGAGGGAGGACTGAAAACAGGTAAAGGAGACTTGAGTCACAGAAAGGATATAAAGCTAATTTTTCCCCTCTAGTTTCAACTCCTTTATGGATTTTTTTGTTTTGTTTTGTGGTGGAAGATAAATGCCTAAAAATGTATTTGGCAGACAGACCTTTGAGGCCAGGCTGTACTACAGAGTGAGTTCCAGGACAGCCAGGGATACAGGGATAAATTTTGTGCATGTGTGTATGAGTGTGTATATTATGATAGTGAAAGTATAAAATTTAACCCACACCTTCAGAATGACTATTCTGTTTCATTGAGATATATATAGACTTTGGGTCTGATTAACTTTGATGTGTGGTATTACCATTTCTTTTTAGTTCTTTATAATCAAATTTTAATAAAAAACAAAAATTCATACTATGGGCTGAAGATGTAGCTTGGTTATAGAATACTTGTCTAGTATGCACAAACTTTCATTTCTTTGTCTCCTAAAAGAACACTTACAGACCCTCTTAACTGAACAGCATTTCCCATGGGGTTTTAAACCTCAATGAACTTGTCTTTATTGGTATTTGGTATATAGTTTTTTGTTTTCTAGGGCTTTGTGTCTGTTAGGTAATCATTCTCCTACTGAGTTAAATCCCCAACCCCATTCTTTATACTATGTGATCCTTAGCCCATGAAAATATGGGTGTATGTGAGGAGTTCAGCCTCTTAATTTTCTAACCATTCTTCTCTACCTTATATATGGTGATTAGTGGTGGGTTTCCTCCCCTTCTTTCCTTGTTATTATTTTAGCTTTCAGACAGGACTTCGCTATCCTTAAACTCTTGATCCTCCTGCCTTAGCTCTACCCAGTTCTGGGATTATAAGAGTGCAACATCATGGCCCATAGGTGTATGAATTCTATGTAGTGATTCAATACAAGTCTTGTTCAACTTACTGGCCACAGGTGTCCTTGCCAGGGGCCTAGACAAGGCAATGTTTATAAAAAATGTCGTTATTTGGACTAGTATTCCAAGAGCAAAGGTCCAAAGTGACCTTTATGTTTAAAAACACTGGGGCTATAGAGACAGCTCCATGGTTAAGGCAGTTCCTAGCACCCATGCTGGGCAGCTCACAACCACATGTAATAGCTCTAAGTGACCTGACATCTTCCAGTCTCCAGCTGTACCCACACACATATGCTTGCATGCACATACAATTAAAAATTTTTAAATCCCCCTAAGTAAAAAACTGACCAAATTTCAATGACTTGGAAAACTACAAATAAAATGAACCTAAAATGAAAAAGTCTAATGCAATTTTTGTTTGTTTTATTGAGACAGCCTGGTTCTTGCTTTGCAGTTCAGAATGGAACTTAACTTGCAGTAATCCTCTTGCCTAAGCCTAAGGCATGTACCAACACAGATAACTTTCAGTTAGAGTAGCTCAATACTTGTAAAAGTATGGAACAAAATAAATATTCAGTGACTTAAATTACAAGTCCTTTTAAAATGCTAAAACTACAGCACCATAAAGTACAAAAAACATTCTTTGAAATCCTTAACTTCTAGACCCTGGTTAGGAAAACAAAAAAAACCTACCTCAGATTCCTCTAAACATGGGCTTGGCAACTTTTTCTAAATAGAAATTATTTTAAGCTTGAAGGCTATAAGTTTGTTTTAACTACTCAGAGAATATGAAAATAAATAGATACATTCATTTATGAAAACAGGCAGTTTTACACGTTAGATACTAAAAGATCTTTTTCACAATGAGTGTGACCAACAGTGAGGAATGGAAATGGACGACAGTGGCTAGATACCAAAGTAAAACATCTCAAAAGAATGGGTAGGTACATGGCCAGTATTATTTCATGTGTCTTAAAGCTGAGTACCTGTAGCCACTGAGGACCAGGACTCCCGTGCTTAAACACTATAGTAATAAAATTACTACTGATTGCTACTGAAGTACTCACAAAGCTCAATCTAAATTTAAAAAAAAAAAAAGACTTTGCTAAGTGAATCTTTAACACTGAAAAATATAAAATTAATGAAGTCAGTGTTGTGTCACAAGAACCAAGATAATTAGACAAGTAATTAGAATTTTTCCATCATACCTGTTTTTCTTCCTTGCTCATCTGCTTCCGAGCCTCTGACTGGGCTTTGAAATACTGGCTCATCTGTGTGAAGTCGCATTTGCTTAAGTTGGTAATCATATTTTTCTCATCATTAGTCATTTCCTAGTTGAATGAAAGGAATATAAAATAAAATATAATTAAAGCATTAAATAAAAGGTGTTGAGAAAGGTAGCCAATCTCTCTGTGAGGTATTTTTTCCTTAGGGGAGGGGGTTCGTTCTGTTATAAGCTGTATTCCTTTTTTTGTTTTGTTTTTGTTTTTTGTTTTTTCAGAACTGAGGACCGAACCCAGGGCCTTAGCGCTCTACCACTGAGCTAAATCCCCAACCCCTATAAGTTGTATTCTTTTTGTATAAAAATATTTAAGTGATTTATGGAGAAAAATTACTCATTTTTTTAGATCCTTGACAAAAATACAAACTCATGAACACCAAGTATATGAATACCAACCTGAGAAAATACATTAATCAATTTCTTTAGTAATGAAAGGAAAAACCTTTTCTTAGTCTCCTGTAGAACTACTTATTAAATCTGGCTTTAGAGATCCTTAGACGGTAAGTTTTAACTCAGCCTTTGTTTACATTATTCAAATGGAGAGCAATGCAGTTTTTACCTAGGCCAACAGTATATGAATCCAATATGAATCAAAATGGAATAGGAGGTCAGATTAACCCCTCTGCAAAGACAGCAGAGACAATCCCTGCAGAAACAAACTTTCCTTTGTTCAGCTGAAATTGAGGTTTTCTGTTTAACCTATCTGATCTATCTGACCAACTCCTTCCTGCAGTCACATGAAAGCTAAGAAAAAAAACTCTTGTTGGACAAAACCAATTAAAATAGTAAGAGACAAAAGACATACATTCTTTACTATAATAAAATTCAGAAAAGTTATTGATTAAACTATAATTTGCTTAAAAAAAAAACAAAACAACTATCAAACCACCTCCCAGTCAGCGCTTTCATAATCTATTAAATATATGAACACATACCTTTCTCCAATCTTTAAAGAAATTTTTCCTGAATATTTCCTTAGTAGTATATTCATGGTCAAGCATTTTTGCAAAGAATGTAGCTACTTCTTCTGCTTTGGGACTCAACTTCATAACCTTACCTAAAAGGAAGAAAATGGTTCAAATCAGTGAGGCACATCATTAATATTTTATGAGTACTGAATACTGGAGACATCTTTACTGATGGCTTACCTCTCCAAAGTGTACAAAGGTCTGCTGACACATCATTATAACAACAACAGAGCAACATACTGTTATATATCTACTTAATAAAATTTCTCCTTCTCTTTAGTAGATATTTACCTGGGTCTTTTTTTGGAGACTATGCCAGTTAATTGTTCCCAGGTGCCTGCTCAGGACAGGGATGACCTGGGGAAGGCCCAGCCACTCTTCCTTTTCCTTTCAGCAAGCAGGGTCCTTTACACTTCTTCAATGGTTTTTAAAAATCAAATCCTCAGAAGGACTCCTGCCACTGCTAAGCTAAGCAGCCTCTGTTCAAGAAGGGGAGGAAAGGATAGGGGCAGGGAGTGGAAGAAAGGAATTGTGGGGAAAAGAAATAGGCATCTTTCTTCTTTAAAGTTACGTGGGTGGAATATGAATAAAATATATATTCATTGCAGGCAAGCCCAGATTTCCCACATAAAAAGCCTAAACAAGACCTTCCTTTAGAACCTTGCTACCAAAGGCATCACACGCAAGTTTGTTATAAATACCAAGTTTTGGGCCTCAACCCTAGACCTAGAATCAGAAACCGCATTGTGTATATGTGTGCGTTCGTGCATGTGGGGTTGGTTGTACATGTACAACAGTGCCCATGCATGTAGGGGTCAGAGCATTAGGTATCAGTCATTGCCTTCCACCTTGTTTTGAGATAAGGTCTCTCTTGTTCACTGCTACATATCCAGGCTAGCTAGGCACAGAGGCTCATGTCAATTCTCCTGTCTCTACCTCCCATCTCTCCATAGGGACATGCTGGAATTACAGACAAGTGTGCTACTTCATTCAACTTTGATGTGGGTTCTAAGGGAACAACCTTAGATCACTAGGCTTGCATAGCTTATCCACTGAGCCCATCCTCTGCCAGAAACAGCACTTTGCAACACTAGTGTACACAAAGAGTGACACACACTGCACCTGAAACACTGGGAACAGCACCAGGAACTCACCTCTTTCAGGAAATCCCAATCAATCCACAGCACAAGGTGTGCCTGGGTCTGGGCAGCATGTAAGTATATGTAAAAGCTGCTCTAAAAAAGCCCCTGTGTTTACAAGGAAAGCCAGTAAACTGATAAGGAAATTCTGGAGGAGGCATAGGTTTTGTGTACCTTAGTGAGATCATAACTGTCAGTAAAAGTAAAGTACTTAGGAATTTAACCTACCACATATTCAAAGGCAATTTGTATTCCTAGGGCTAATTTCTATCTTTTCTTTAAAAAACAAAAAACAAAACAACAACAAAAAACAACCAGCCAACAAACAAACAAAACCCAACTTTACAATACTATAAAGAAGCAACCTATGCCATAACATTTGGCTGCATTCTAAATGAGATTAAATATAAGCCTACTGACTTACAGTTATGTAAGTACAAATAAATCCAAAGGATTCACATTCATTACTGAAATCTAAAACTTAAGCAGAAGCCTACTCCTTGTACAATTCAGAAGACATCTTATCTTATAACGGGTGGAAGTGCTCTTCCTGGCTGTAGGAACACAGAGAATACAGGACAAACTGAAACTTGTGTGGTAGTGGAGGATCAGCTTGGAAGACATAATTTCAAGGACCAGTAGGTGGTGTAGTTCCCTCTCAGTCTTTTCAAGCTTCTGTTTTGGAAAAAGACTAGGAGGAAGAAGTTTCCTGCTCCTCCCCACCCTCCGCTCAGGTCTCAACTAGAGTTGCCATGCAAAACTACAACATGCTTAAAATATAAAGGAAAAAAAAATGAAGCCAAGGTGGCACTGGCCTTCAATTATAATTATGTAGCATTCAGAAGGCTGAGACAGGAGGATTGTGAGTTTGAAGCTAGCCTAGGCTATAGAACCACCATCTCAAAACAAAACAAAAATAAAAATAGAGAAGAAAAAATGTAAATGAATGTGCTACCTGATATGTTTCACATAAACTAGATATTCAATGTTTTTATTTTGGGGGTGAGGGTGTCTCTGGATTATTTCACTGGCTTTGTCCCAGTAAAGAAGCTACTATGACTCACTGTTCTAAATAAATGGACTGTGGAAAAATTAAACAACAGCTCCTACAGCAGAGCAGTGGGTGGAGGGCGTGTAGGTTCCCAGCAATAGCACTTTGTGGAAGAGGCTGAGCTCCTGGAAACAGAAACTGTTGAGTCAGCTGACAGTGAAGGTGCACAGCAGAGGCTGCAATTCCATGCTTCAACAACCAGGTCCTGCCTAGCAGAACTTACTTATCAGCTTGGACTAACAAATCAAACAGGAGTTTTACAACCTTAGAGAGGAAACCTCAGGAGGACCAACAGATAAAACACAAGCACTCCAATAGTGGAAAGCTAGGAAAATGGAGGCAGGGACTGTAGCCAACGATGAGCTGGTTCCAGGCCTTAGTTTCTTATCTATCATCTAGTTTCCATCCATCACCACCTTGACTTTCACAGTGAGGCTTTTCCAGCTGAGCTTTCTAAAGCTAGTAAGCCCACAACAGGCTACAAAATACCAGCATTAATTGTCTTTTTCAAGACCTTAGACTTTGCCTCCTCATCAGGAAGTTTAACATCAAGTATTTTCATGAGAGTCTCCAGGAATGACCCAGTGTCTTGTGCTTTTTGATCAAACCATGTCAGACCATGAAGTGTTTTATGATGTCAACTTTCTAAATAGTTTGAATCAGTAGTCTCGATCTATTACTAGGACCTGGGTGTCTGAAGACAAACATATTCAAAAAACACATTTTCCTGGCATACAGAATGAGCCCTCTGGTCAAAACTAGTTGAACATCTCTTATCTGAAACATCTGGTATTTAGGCTTTCATTTCTTTCTCCCCCCTCCCCAAGTTTTTTAGAATGAGTGTGTGAGTGAGTGAGTGAGTGAGTGAGTGAGTGAGTGAGTGAGTGAGAGAGTGAGTGAGAGAGAGAGAGAATGTGTGTGTGTGAGAGAGAGAAAAGAAATGAAGTATCAGGCTGGGCATAATGGTGCACATCTTTAATTCCAGCACTCAGGAGGCAGAGACAGGTGGACCTCTGAGCTTGAGACCAGCCAAGGCTATGTAGTGAGACCCTGTCTCAAAAATAAATAAAAAATAAATAAATAAATGAAAGAACAGAAAAAAAAGAGAGAGAGAAAGAAAGAAATGAGTTATCTTGAGGATGAGACCCAGGTTTATAACAAATTTGTTTCATACACACTGTTTTAAATGCTAAAGTAATGTCACATAATATCTTTAATGATATGGTGCATACAAGCTTCACTTTTTTTTAAATTGCATGTATTTATTTAGTGTGTGTATTATGTGTGCAATGTGGCAGTCAAGAACAACATGACCATGGGGGCACTAGGGATTAAACTGAAGTCATCAGGCTTCGAAGCAAGTGCCCTTGCAGAGCCATCTTGTTGGCCCTTAACATTTCACTTTGTAGTGTCATGTTATAATTTAAATTTTAAAAAAAATTTCTGAAATCCAGATTTCAATTGTTGGATGCTAATAAGCCTATCCCATCCTAAACCCACAGGCATCTATGGTCCTGAAGCATTGCTGGTGGTCAGAGACGTACCAAATAACTCAACTCTGAGTGCTTGCCACAGGTACTTCTCAGCAGCTTTTCTGTCCAGTGTTTCTCCATAATGGTAAATAGACTATTTGGTTCAGAAGCACCCAGTCCTAGCACTCATCTATTTAAGGGGCCCAGATCTACTTGGTGAATCTTAAGCATATGTAGGGTTTGAGAAACAAGACTCTAGCATCCCTGGACAGAACTCTTGGAATGAAGGCATTCAGTTGAACATTACCACCTGATACACTGTCAATAAAAGGCTTGTGAAAGACTACTCTCAAATCTTTCAAACTCAAGGACAAAAACACAGATGATGTAACTCTCAGCCAATCTGGGAAGTTCCAAGAGATCCAAGTAGGTCAAATAGGGTGGCACATGCCTCAGGAGCAGAGGTAGGTTAATCAACTGAATTCAGGGCCAGCTGATCTACATTATCAAGTTCTGAGCTAGGCAGGGCTACGTAGTTAGGAAGTATCTCCAAAATAAATAAATAAATAAATGTAAATAAATAAATAAGAAACCTAGGCAGAGCCTATCTTTATAACTGATGCATCAAAGGCAAAGTATTGCACTATATGAAGTGAATGATACAGCTTATGATTTCTACCGACAGGCTGAATGGAAGCAGCTAATCCTTTGCCAAACATTATCTCTAGTGACAAGCAGTTTGTTGGTATATATTACCACCAAAATAAAATGCTACTATTTGAGTAAGGCTTTTCTAACGATTCCACAGAACACAACAGCTTTCTAGAAATTGAGTTCAGATAAAAACCTTCAGTGAGTAGGCCATAGCCTGGCTATGAGCCACAAAGATAAACCTTTTTAGGATTACAGATAAGATACCAACAGCCCCTTTTCTTATGATATTTTTTAAGCAGCAAATGGGCCCTTTTACCAAACCAGACAAGGACAATAAAACAAAGTGAAGTAACTAGATAAGACTGTCCAGTAGAGGCGGCGCCTTCATTTTCTATCCCAATAGAAGCAAACTCTTCTTAGCCAAAATTCAAACCTGAAATAACTCACCATCATAGTAAAACTTGACACCCTCTGGAAGAGGCTCATATGGTGGAGCAAAGACAGGCCCTTTGTGTTCTAGGAATTTCCACTTGATGCCTTCAGGATAGCGTTCTTCTTCCCACCTTTCAAAGACAAGGCACAACCTTATTAAGGGATCACTTCACATAATAAAAAAGATCCTCACCTATTAAATGCCAATAATAATTATCTAATCAATTGATGGTACTCATTCAAAGTCTGGATAAGAATAACCTGTATCTCATTGAGAAAGGCAGCAATTTCAAGAAGATGAAAGAATGTGGTAACTATTTCATTCAACAGTTTCAGTTAAAAGACAGTAAGTATTAAAGACCATCATTCAAAGAGCCCAGCACTAACTAGGGAATATGAAAATGGGGATAACTGTTCTACCATGGTACCCTAACAACATGCCACAGTAGTACTGATGACATGCAGGGAAAAGTACAAAACACAGCCAGGCAGGATGGTGCATGCCTTTAGTCCCAGCACTTGAGAGGCAGAGGCAAGCAGAACTCTTGAGTTCTAGGACAGCCTGATCTACATATCTAGTTCTATAACAGCTAAGGCTACATAGTAATACCTTGTCTCAAGACAAACACAAAACAAAACAATCAAACAAAAAAGAAGTTCAAAGCCGGGCGGTGGTGGCCCACGCCTTTAATCCCAGCACTCGGAAGGCAGAGCCAGGCGGATCTCTGTGAGTTCGAGGCCAGCCTGGACTACCAAGTGAGTCCCAGGAAAGGCGCAAAGCTACACAGAGAAACCCTGTCTCGAAAAACAAAAAAAGAAAAAAGAAAAAAGAAAAAAAAAAAGAAGAAGTTCAAATGTAAAAAAAAGGATTGAAATAATAGTTTAACTGAGGCACACCGAGTTTAAGGCACTTCTGAAATACATTGAGCTATCTAGTAGACAGCAAAATTCTAAATAAATCTCAGGTGCCATAACTTTCTGAAACGTTTTTATTTAAAAGAAAATCAAACATACAGAAAAAACTATGGCTAATACAATTAACTGTGGATATATACAAAGAACTATTGAAATGAATTACATTTCTATTTTGACTGATAAAGTTAGATGTGGATAAATATACAATAAATAATTTAGCAATTATCTTTATAAAAATGATCTTATACATAACTATAACACATACTATCAGATCTAAAAAAATCAATTTTCTAGTGTCATTCTAATATTTAGTTTGATTATAAATTCACCAATGAGATTCGATGTATTTTTTTTTCTTTTTTTTCTTTTTTTTTTTTCGAGACAGGGTTTCTCCGTGTAGCTTTGCGCCTTTCCTGGAGCTCACTTGGTAGCCCAGGCTAGCCTCGAACTCACTCCCAAGTGCTGGGATTAAAGGCGTGCGCCACCAACGCCCGGCTGATTCGATGTATTTTACAGGTCAAGATCTACTGGAAGATCATGCATTGCAATTGACAGATGTTTCTAATACCTCCTTTACACAGATCTTACCATCCTCACAGTTTGGAAAGAATCAGCTAGATAGAATACATCTGGCATACAGATTATTTTTAAACTTCTCAGATTCCATCTTTACTGCTACTTCTAAACAAAAAGAATTTTATGGACTCCTATGGGGATTTGTTTTTGTTTTTGTTTGAGACAGGGTTCCTCTGTGTGTCCCTGGCTATCCTGGAACTCCCTCTGTAGACCAGGTTGGTCTGGAACATCTGCCTGCCTCTGCCACCCAAGTGCTGGGATTAAAGGCATGTGACACCACTGCCTGGCTTATTCTGCTATTAAATAAATCCAAATCCAATATTTTAAACAAAGTTCAGAAACAGAGTAAGAAACACATTAATCTTATCAAATTGTAATAATACTGTTATATAAAAAAAAACAACTGCAGTCAAAATATATTGTCAAGTAATTTTCAACAAGAGTTATGATGACCCAATGGTTAGAGGACAGATTCTAAACACTGGAGTTTGCAAAGAGTGACACTCAGAAAGTTCTTTATACTATATACAAAAGTTAACTAAAAAAACAAACCAAGAGGGGTTGGGGATTTAACTCATAGGTAGAGCACTTGCTAACAAGTACAAGGCCCTGGGGTCGGTCCTTAGCTGGGGGGTGCGAGGATGAGGCACGACAAACCAAGAAATTAAAATTCTAAATATAAGAGTTAAAACACATTTGGACATTTAGGAGAAAATAAAGGGGAACAGCTTTACAACATTGAATTTGACAGTGATTTCTTGGATATAATACCAAAAGTAACAACAAAACCACACACACATAAGTTGGGCTACAAACTTAAAAATACCTGTGGATCAAATGGCATATTCAAGAAAGTGAAAGGCAATTCACAATGAAAGAAAATACCTGAAAGCTAGAAATCTAAAAAAGAGTTACTATTACGAATACACATAGAATTCCTTTTTGGTCATAATGGCATGGGCCTATAGTTCTAATAACTTGAAATGCTGAGAAGAAATCAATCCAAGGATTCCAAGGCCAGCCAGAGCAACCACAACTGGTCAAAAGTTTTTGTTTATTTACTTCGTGTCTATGAGTATTTTGCTCACATGCATGTATGTGCACCATGTATGCATGTTGGATCTCCTGGAAATGGGGTTACAGATGGCTGTGAATAATTATGTGGGTGCTAGAAATCGAACCGGATCCTTTGAAAGAGCAACAAGTGCTCTTAACCATTGAGCCATCTCTCCAGCCCAAACAAACAAACAAACAAACAAACGAATGAACGAATGCTGGGTAGTAGGGATACCTTCCAGTTTTCTACAATGGAGATACACCACTCCCTCCAGAGTATATAAGGATTCCAATTTCTATTTCTGTTCCACCAATACTCTTTTTTTCCCCATCTTAATGGGTCTCATTATAGCTTTGTAAGAGTGTAAAGTGGTATCTCATTACAGCTTTGATAATTAAGATGACAAATTTTACGTGCATTTTAAATATACATTCACATTATAAGTATTTAAATAATGCAGTTTTTAAAGTGAAGATTTTATAAAATCTTAGATCTGGAAGGAAGAATAAAAACTTCCTACAACCAATAACCACTTTACAAATAGGAAGTTACTCTACTAGAGATGATAAAAGCCTGGAATGCAGGAAAATATCTAATCCCCAAATTTACTACTCTCCTTCAGAGAAAATGTCTGCAAGCATATGAAGGCTTCTGCAAGTGACTTAAATCTGTTTTAACAGTCACAGTGTTAATTGTGGAGGGGTTCAGAACACCATCATGTATCCTTTATATTCTTGTCACCAACTGCACTGTTTTGAAATTAAGATTCTAAATCATTTCTCAAACACCTTCAAATTCAACATGGTTTTTCTTCAGGATCTATAACGATTTCCTTACCATTTAAGCAAATTAAGAGATTCAATGAAAGCTGGGTGGTGGTGGTGGTGGTGGTGGTGGTGGTGGCAGCACATGCCTTTAATCCCAATAATCAGGAAGCAGAGGCAGGTGGATCTCTGAGTTCGAGGCCAGCCTGGTCTACACGGAGAGTTCTAGGACAGACAGAGCTATTACACAGAAAAATCTTCAAAGTCAAAAAAAAAAAAAAAGAGAGAGAGAGAGAGAGAGAGAGAAAAAGAGAGATTTTTAATGAATCACTGAACACAAAACTTCAGTTTAGACAGAAAAATGCAAACATATCCTCCAATATATTAGTACACTGTGATGACTCAAATGGACCTAAGAGATATCTACAAAACATTTCACCCAAAAACGAGAAAAAAAAAACCATACCATCTTCTCAGCACCGCATGGAACCTTCTCCAAAATTGATCATATACTCAGTTACAAAGCAAGTCTCAACAGAGACAAAAAATTGAAATAACCCCCTGTATCTTATCAGATCACCATGGAATAAAGCTGAATTTCAACAATAACAGAAAACCTACAAACTCACAGAAACTGAACAACTCTACTGAGTTACCACTGGGTGAAGGAAAAAATAAGTAATTTATGACTTCCTAGACTTCAATGAAAATGAATGTATAACATACCCAAACTTATGGGACAAGATGAAAGGCACTAAGTGCCTTCATGAAGAATTTGGAGAGATCTCATAACAGCAACTTAACAACACACACCTGAAAACTCTAGAACAAAACAGAAGCAGATACTTCCAAGAGGAGTAGATGACAGGAAATAACCAAATTGAGGGCTGAAATCAATAATACAAAGACAATGCAAAGAATTCTCTATAATACAAAGAATCAATGAAACAAAGAGTTGGTTCTTCAAGAAAAATCAACAAAATAAACCCATATCCAAACTAAATAAAAGGAAGAGAGAGAATATCCTAATCAACAAAATCAGAAAAGAAAAGGACATTACAAGAGACACTGAGGAAATCCAGAGAATCATTAGATCATACTTCAAAAACCTGTACTCTACAAAACTGGATAATCTAAAAAAAGAAATGGATAATTTTCTCGATTATATACCACTTACTAAAGTTAAATCAAGATCAGATAAACAATTTAAATAGACCTGTAACCACTAAGAAAATAGAAGCAGTCATTAAAAGTCTCCCAACAACAACAACAACAACAAAAAAAAGCTCAGGGCCAGATGGTTTTAGTGCAGAATTCTACTAGACTTTCTAAGAGCTACCTACACTCCTCAAACTATTCCATAAAATAGAAACAGAAGGAACATTGCCAAATTCACATGAACTGTGAACCAATGGCTGAGAAGCTCCCATGGAACTGGATCAGGCCCTCTGGATAAGTGAGACAGTTGAGGAGCTTGAACTGTTTAGAAGGCCTCCAGGCAGTGGGACTGGGACCTGTCCTTGGTACATGAGCTGGCTGTTTGGAACCTGGGGCCTATGCTGAGACACTTTGCTCAGCCTTGGTGAAGGGAGGACGGAACTGGATCTGCCTCAACTGAATCTACCAGCCTGGGCTGATTCCTCAGGGGAGACCTTGCCTTGGAGGAGGTGGGAATAGGGGGTGGATTGGGAGGGGAAGGCTGGGGGGGTGGGAGGAGGGAAGACAGAGGAATCTGTGGCTGATATGTAAAATTAAATTAATTATAAAATAAAAATTTATTTAAAAAAAAAACGGTTTGTGGGGAGATATGTGATCACATGTGTGTACATTTGTGAGACTGCAGGTGCTTGT